CGGAGCTGCTCAGGGAGATGGGATTTGGCACTAGTCTGCTCACTTGGATTACGGCAATTTACAGCCGGCCAAATGCGCAAGTCAGGGTAAAAGGGGCACTCACGACCCCTTTCCCAATCCGGAACGGGACGAGGCAGGGATGCCCTTTGTCCCCGCTGATCTTCGCCCTGACGCTGGAGCCTCTTCCCGAAGCCATACGAAATAATGGAGACATCAGGGGATTCCACTCCACTCTGCTGCATAAATCGGCAGCATACGTGGATGACATGTTATTCTTTGTCTCACAACCCAGAATTTCTCTTCCATGCCTTCTAAGAGAATTCACAACATATGGTCAAATATCTGGCCTTAAATTAAATCTAACAAAATGCGAGGTCCTCAATATATCGATACCCAGCGAAGAGAACGACTGCTTACGCACACAATTCCAATTCCACTGGTGCGAGTCCAGGATGAAGTATCTAGGAATCTGGCTCACCAAGGACCCACAGGATCTCTACGCGTCAAATTTTATACCGCTCCTCGCCAAGATACAACGAGACCTCTGTGATTGGAACCCCCAACACATATAGTGGTTGGGGCGCATCGCCGTAGTGAAAATGAATATTTTGCCCCGATTGCTCTATATGTTTCAAACGTTACCCTCCGCGTATTTCTCTTCCCTCAGATCAGCAATCATCAAATACATTTGGAAGGGTCAAAGACCCAGGATTAGACATGAAACCCTATGCCTCCCTCGTCACTGGGGCGGCCTAGCGCTCCCGGACATGAAAAAATATCACCAGGCCACTACGCTGCAACGCATACTAGAGTGGCACACTCACCCACCACATAAACAATGGATCCCGCTGATGGAGACTGGAGGCCAAGCGTCCATACTGGAGGCGGTGTGGGGGACCAAGGCTGCAGCCAAGAAAGAACCAGACAGAACATCACCGACAACACATACCTTACATGTGTGGAACAAGGTGAGACGGGCCAATCACATATCTCCGACACCAAGCCCAATGATCCCACTTACCAACAACCGATCAATAGGAGGCGGCCTCACTGCCAGAACATGGGGAATACTGGGAGAGCAAGAACAAGACTACGTACCACTCCACAACGTCCTGGATGACACCAACCTAAAACCACTTTCAGAACTCACCATCACGCAAACCCCCAGCAGTCCTTCTGCTATACTCAATTGAGACATTTCTACCATTCATTCCGTGACAGAGCAGCTGTACACAGGGCCCAAACGCCAGTCGAGAAATTGTGCCTAACCAAAACTTGTATCGGCAGAGCAATCTCTTATCTCTATCAATACATCCTCACAAGAGATCGCATGGAAATAGTCACATTCAAGATGCAATGGGAACACATCACAAACCATGAATTTACCCCAAACCAATGGGAAAAAATACTCATCTTACACCACAAATCTTCCGTGAGTTCCTGATACCAAGAAATCAATTACAAACTTTTGTCACAATGGTACAAAACTCCATCACGCCTACATAAGATATTTCCCAGTGTACCAGACACATGCTGGAGGTGCGGAGGTGAGACACATCTGGTGGAACTGCCCAATTATACAGCCATTCTGGAACCAGGCGCAAAAATCACAGAGATCCTTCGGGAACCGTTCCCCCTTAATATAGAGCAATACTTACTACACTCGACACCGAGACCAATATCACAATACAAAAAATCCATATTGAGACACCTGCTGGACGCAGCCAAAGTGCTCATACCCGCAATGTGGAAACAGACACAGTCCCCAACGTTAACCCAATGGTACGACAGAGTGGAGGAGATCCGCTCCGCAGAAAACGGTGGGGGCCGTGGCTGGGGCACGTCGCTGGGGGGTGGGGGGGGGGCGATGTCATGACCCAGCATGCCGACCCGGCGGATGCGGGTGGGCAATAGGGGACACACATGCCCGCCAGATGACGAGATCATCATACGACTGAACGGAGACTGGGAATTAAGCCCAATAACAAGACCACAAGACGTGACTATGATCTACTACTCGACCCACGGTTGCACACGAGGGAGATGGTTGACAAAGGAGTAAGCGCACAACACCTCTAGCACATAGTAAATTAAAAAGCCAACCCCCCCCCCCCCAAAAAAAAAGCCATGAAGGAGACATACACACCAACTGAGACCCACAAGACCCACATCCACAGGCCTGGAAACGGGACAGTCAAATCACCAACTAAAATGATCCATGACCCGTAGTCCCAACATCACACCCTACAAAACCAACCCAAGTCCCGGACAAACAGTACCACCCCCATCCGAGAAAACACACACAGAACCAGGGAGGATTAGAACCCCGAAAATCCGCGGGACACACATATCACAACCTCATAATCCCGATGCAGGGGCCTGCACACGAGAAGATATACGTGCCCTGACCCTAGTAACCCCGACACAAATACAAGACCACCTCAAGGCAACCACCTATGACAGGACTCTACACCACACGATAGATGATACACGCAAAGTGAAGAGAGGACAGCACCCTCCACCAGTGGCGGCTCTAGACTTGGCGAGGCCTTAGGCGAAACTCATACATGAGGCCCCCACTAGCACCATTATTGGAAAAAAACAGCAGTTGACTTGTGTGTGTATAAGTAGTAGAGATATTGTGGGGCGGGCTTGCAGTACTGGATATATAGAACTAGTCTTTATATACGTCGTTGCATTGTCTACCTCTGTGTGCCTGAGAGTGTGTGTCTGGCAGTGAGTATCTTTGTATATGTATGCATGTTTCTCTGAGCATGTGTATGTTTGTGTTACTGCCTGTGGCCTTTGGCTCATGGCGAAGCTATGTTTTAGGACAGTGT